AGGAGAAGCTTCGCTCCATGAATCCACGTGGACAGCAGTGAAGAGTTGTTCAAGTGGTTTTTAATGCATTGTTATGTGATTGATATAATGTTTTGGGTGGTTTCCTGTGTGTTGACATGCGTTTGCCAAGGTTTTCTGAGCGGTTGTTATTACCGTGTTGCTGTGTGGTTGCTGGACTTTTCTGTGGTTTTTCGTGCATTTCTGCTAACTGGTTGTTAGAATGTTGGGGTTGGTTTATGTTGTTGCTTTTAAACAGTTAGGTTAGGATCCCTCACATGGTTTGCAGCTTGACGTGCTGTGAGGGCTTGTGTGCATCAGTGATGCTGAGATCTACGCCACTGGTACTTCACAACTACTAGTAGGGTCACCCATAGTGGACAAGTCTGAGCTGTGATACCAGACAAAGACAAACCACCTGATTCTCGACGGCAGCAGATTGGCCTGATGTTCCTGGCTGAGGAACATTGTCTTGTGACAACAGCAACAACACCAGAATTACCTGAATTGAATGAAAAGAAATGTCAAACTAATTATGTGGAAGTAATTGATGGATCAATGGAAGCAACCATTCCAACAGAATGAGGAAACACAGAATGGTTTAATATTAGTTAAGGCGTGCGACAAGGCCACATTCTTTCTTCAGCAATCTTGTAACAAATTTGAGGACCAGTAATTCTAAAATATTATATTGTTTCTTAAATGCATGGTTAAAGGCACACTGTGGAACTTTTCAACCTTTATAATATATTACCAAAACCCATTGAGATGGTACATCGACTTACAATAGGTTGAATGACACGTCTGCCGAAGCCTGAAGGTGTCTGTATCGCTTTTACTAGCACTATGTAACTTCGGGTTTCGGGTAGGAACCCGAGCACAAAAAGAACTACAAAATTCGACCGCTTTACGGCATACGTCACTTCCCCCACCACCCCAACTTCCTCAAATTCTAACGTGAGAGCTCAACTCGCGTTTGATTGCCGGCGTCTGTATGTTGTCGTCATGGCTGAATCAACAGCTACTCGGAAGAAAGCGAAGAAAGCAAAGATTTTGTCAGAGGAGACCAAAAAAAGAAAAAGGGAGAGTTTAAAATAAACATCGGCATAAAAGTGTATATATAATGTAATATTTACTGCGAATTCGTGTAACAAAACTGATATAAGTCAGTCACAACATACTGCCGTATACAAATGTAAATGTAAATGGGTTTTTTTCCTTTCAGCTCATATATGTTTGTATTTGTGTAAAAGGAAAAACAAACTGAAGACTACAAATAACGGAAATATGTAGTGAGTTATATCAGTTTTGTTACACGATTTCCCGACTACTCGATTTCATCTCCAACCCATTGCAAAGAGATCCTGAAGACGTTAATTGTTTGCTTCAGGTGTGTTTGATTAGGGTTGGAGATGAACTGTGCAGGACAGACGATCGGCAGGAGCAGGATTGGGCAACCCTTGTCAATGCGACTTACCTGATGACATTGTTTTCTACTTTTATTCAATTTGTTTTCTTTATAGGATTTATATTATTAATCTTATATTTATATTATTATTTTGGTCAGTAGTGAATCGATTAACTTTCTCCAACATACAAATCAAATGCCGTCTGCACACACATAAAGACACGGGAGGTTGACCGGTTGACTGTTTGTTGACTTTTGCGACAATGCTGCGGCGCTTGTGGCCTCTAGGGGCAATAGACGTGAAAATTACAGGTCGAGCGCACCCTAGTGGCCAAAAATTCCACAGTGTGCCTTTAAAACATGAAATAAATCACTTCTGAAATTGTTTCTATATTTAGGCACATGATCACGCAAATACTGTTGATTAGAGCAGTGAAAATTATTGATAAGTACAGCAATTACTATTTACAGCAGGCATCACAGTAATCTAAACTTCATAAACCGGAGCTTATAACACTAATTTGTGCATGAATAATCAAGCCTTGCATGTTAAAACTAAAAACTAAAGTGGTCAGTTGATATATTTAATCACGAATAATCAGATTTTGTTTAAATCACACACATACACAAACAAAGCCTTACTAAAACTAAAATAAAAAAAATGTACCGAAAAGCTCAAACTAAATATGATCAAAAACAATCACACTGTGAAAAAACAGCATCAGAAGCTCAAAAATACATTGTTAGGCCATTGTTGGTGAAAATAATAATAAAAATATAATTTTATTCAAGTTGTCCTTTTTCTGGGTTTTTATTTCTAATGTCTTATTGTATTTTATGCATCAAGACAAACTGCTTGGTTGTAGAATAAATATTATAGCGAAAAATAAATTCTTGACTATTCTTATTAAACAAGAAATAAGATTTTTGGCTCACCAGATTGAACCAATAAACCTTAAACAAATTCTTTAAAAAAAAGGGACTTATGTTTATGTCATATGTCATTGTTGTTCCATATAAAGTAATTAGTTGGAGAGAAATTATGCTTGAAAATCATGGACCATGTCAAAAGTGCTTGCTTGTGGAAGGTAGAGCCACAAGAAGCCTCATTTTATCTTGTTTGAGAAGCCATTTCACTTGAATATACATCCCAATAGGGAAGAAAAGTCACAACTTCTGTTTGATGTCAACTTTAAACTTTAACAATTCATTCAATATTACAGAGAAATAGAAGTGGGGGAACTCGTATACAGTGGGGAAAATAATTATTTGATCCCCTGGTGATTTTGTAAGTTTGCCCACTTACAAACAAATGAAGGGTCAATCATTTTTATAGTAGGTTTATTTTAACAGATAGAGACACAATATCAACCAAAAAATACAATGCATTATATTGGTTATAAATTGATTTGCATTTCAGTGGGTGAAATAAGTATTTGATCCCCAAGCAAAACATTATTTAGTACTTGATGGAGAAATTCTTGTTGGCAAGCACAGAGGTAAGACGTTTCTTGTAGTTGATCACCAGGTTTGCACACATCTCAGGAGGGATTTTAATCCATTCCTCTTTACAGATCCTCTCTAAATCATTAAGGCATTAAGGCTTGGCTGTCGCTTTGCAACTTGAGGTTTCAGCTCCCTCCACAGATTTTCTGATTAGTCTGAAGACTGGCTAGGCCACTCCAAGACTTTAATGTGCTTCTTCTTGAGACACTCCTTTGTTGCCTGGGCGGTATGTTTTGAGTCATTGTCATGCTGGAAGACCCATCTTCAGTGTTCTGGGTGAGGGAAGGAGGTTCTTGTCCAAGATTTTACAGTATATGTCCCCGTCCATTAGCCCCTCAATACAGTGAAGTCGTCCTGTACCCTTAACAGAGAAACAGCCCCAGAGCATGTTTCCACCTCTGTGCTTGACTGTAGGGATGGTGTACTTGGGGTCATGGTCAGCATTTCTCTTCCTCCAAATACGGCAATTTCAGTTGATGCCAAAGAGCTCAATTTTGGTCTCATCTGACCACAGCCTTTTCTGAATCATTAGATGTTCATTGGTAAACTTCAAACGGGCTTCTATATGTGCCTTCTTTAGCAGGGGGACCTTGCGGGTGCTGCAGGATTTCAATTCATTGCCATGTAGTGTGTTACCAATTGTTTGCTTGGAGACTGTGGTCCCAACTGCCTTAAGATCATTAACAAGCTCCTCCCGTGTAGTTCTGGGCTGATCCCTCACCTCATCTTTACCTCATGAGGCCAGATCTTGCATGGAGCTCCAGGCCGAGGGCGATTGATGCTTATTTTGTATTTCTTCCATTTCTGAATAATGGCACCAACAGTTGTCTCCTTCTTACCAAGCTTCTTGCTGATGATCTTGTAGCCCATTCCAGCTTTGTGCAGGTCTACAATCTTGTCCCTGATGTCCTTTGACAGCTCTTTGGTCTTGGAGAGCTTGGAATGGAAGATACAGATTCTGTGGACAGGTGTCTTTTATACACATTATGAGCTGATATTAGGAGTACTTTCTTAAAGTGGCAGGACTAATCTGTGTTTCACTTGGGCACATAACCAATCTGTGGGAGGCAGAATTCTTGCTGGTTGGTAGGGGATCAAATACTTATTTCACTCGATCAAATGCTAATCAATTTATAACCTTTATATAATGTTTTTTTTCTGGATTTTTTGGTTGATATTCTGTCTCTATCCGTTAAAATAAACCTACCATAAAAATGATAGACCCTTCATTTATTTGTAAGTGGGCAAACGTACAAAATCATCAGGGGATCAAAAAAGTTATCCACTGTTTACAATTTGTTCAAAAATAAATTGCAGAATGTTTTAAAGCTTTTTTTATTTATTTATGTTAATAGTAAATGTAAATCCTAGGCAAGTACTCCATAATTAGGTTTAAATATCTTGCTCTCTGAATATGGTATTTATCCATCACACAAAGTTTGAGACATTTATCTCCCTATTGAAAGTGACACACTTCCTGCTGCCAGTTGGTGGCGCTATGACTTTGACTCACAATAGTCTCACCCATGTGATTGCCTCCTACAATGAACACACAGCTGAAGTTTCATCAAAATCTGTCAATGTATGCAGAAGTTATAATAACACACTTCCTGTTTCCCTTTTTTCACCATAAATTCGTTGCCTCGCCATGGCCAAACCATTTAAAAGATCAAAAATCCGCTCGCAATTTAGCATTCTCAATGTCTTGACTTCATGCTAACTGAGTTTGGTTGCAATCAGAAGAATCACCAAGGAGGGGTATCAAATTCCAGAGCATGTGTTTTTCAAACAACCCATAATAGCCAACTTCCTGTTGGGCTGGCGTATGACTTGGACTGTGAAAGTTGTTTGGCCCGATGAGATCTATGAGTGTATGAGGTTTGGTTACTGTTTGTGAAAAGGGGTGTGCTACAGAGCCCCTCAAATACAACCACATGAAAGGGTGCGTCACAGAACACCCCCAATGCTATAGAAAAAGACATCAATACAGCTAAATGTTGAAATGAACGATAAATTTCTATAACGTCCCCTTTCGTTCACCAATAAGATGGCTTGCTCATCCAATTTATTCATGAACGACACAAGTTGATACTTTTTGAGGTGTTTTAATAATTTACATATTTATAGTAGCATAAATCAAGAGAATTCTCTCATTAAAAAAAATACATCCAATAAAAAGTTATTTTGATCTTTGATGACATTTGATATCCCGATTAAAAATTCCAATTCATCACTATACAACCCTTTATGCACTCCCACATTAAAAAATGAGATTACAACAGCATGATTCCATAAAATCATAAGGAGTTCCCATGTAAAACTTGCAGTCACATGCAAAAAATAAGAATCTAGCCTTGTCACCAGTCTCGCTCATGTGGTTCTCTGTAAGGTATGCCCAGGTGTTTGAAGACATCCTTCTCTGCCAGTGTGTGTAAAGGAGTTCCCGCCACCAATTTCACGCCACACTGCCGCACGACAGCACAGTTTAGCGAGTGCTCTGATAGGCTCATGTGTTTGGTCTTAGCCAATGCCCTCATTGATCGGTTAAAGTGGGCAGAGCCAGTGAAGTACAGAAGAGAACATGCAAATTCAGCATAGGGCACTACAATGATGTCTAGGCGTCTGTGGCGCTGTGAAGGGCCTGGAAGCCGGCAGACGCCCATGTACTTCTTCTGCTCACCGTTCTCCTCATGGCTAACAAGGTCGTCTGTCAGGAAACCTGGATGGTAAAATAAATATCAAATGTGGGTTTATTGAATCAATCTAAATTATTCTACATTTCTCTGTAATATCACAGCATACCGCTCTGATGGAGGAAGTGCAACACTTTGCTGAAAACACCCTTGTGCGATACTCCATCAGGGTGAGTGATGAGAACGTCCACATCTCCACACGTGGTCTTGCCCCTGCGGTATGAGCCACACGCCATAACCACCAGCTGTGTGTCCACACTGTGAGCTGCTTCCTCCACCTGTCAATCACAAAAATATTCATGTTTTTAAGTTGTATAATTTATTTTGTTCATATGTAACAGTTTTTATATAATTGATGTGATTTATATACAGTACTATTTAAAAGTTTAAGGTCAATTTTTTTATTACTACTTTTATTCAGCAAGCATATATTAAATTGATCAAAAGTGAAAGTAAAGACTTTCACATTGTTACAAAAAAAAATCCATTTCTTTTGAACTTTCTATTCAAAGAATTTAAGGAAAAAATGTTTAAGCAGAACAGAAATGTTTTCAACATTTATAATAGGAAATGAGCACCAAATAATATTAGAATGATTTCTGAAGGATCATGTGACACTGAAGACTGGAGAAATGATGCTGAAAATTCAGCTTTGCCATAACAGAAAAAAAAAAACATTTTAAAATATATTAAAATAGATAAGTTATTTTAAATTGCAATACTATTTCAAAATATTACTTTTACTACTTTTACTGATCAAATATGCCATCATTTTCATTTAAAAAAAAAAAACTTGCACATTTGTCCGTTTAAGCAGTGTTCTAAGGACATGGTGATTAAAAATGTACCCATGCTTATTTGTACCTAGCATTCAGGCAATTTGGAGCTGAAACGCTGAGAGCACATACTGTAAGTTTACATGGTCTACATATCATTCTGTCAAGCTAGGACAGCACATGCTGCACTCATCTGCCCTTTTTATCTATCAGGTCTGTTAAGAGGAAAACAGGGGGCTGTTCCAAGTAAAAGTAAGAAAACAATTTCCTTTGGCCAAAGACTCCGTAAGGGAGATCGGTAGCTTCTGACTTATGACGCGCCAGCTTTCAAGGACTCCCACTCTTCCTATGGGATGAAAGACTCACTAACAATCGCTGTTATGTCCATCAGCCAACAGAGAAAGATTGACAGTCTTGCTGCTGCCACTGCAAAATAGTTTTTTTTAACCTGCTTGTGCTTTAGAAATTCAGTTTTATTATTTACTGCTTTGAAAATCAAGTAGATACATTCTTGTTCTTCACAACCGGATGCTGTTGTTATGGAAAGAAGGAACAAAGGAAATCCCTCTGTTAAATTTCTTGGTTATAGCCATTTTCTTTTACTACAGGCCATTTAAAATAAGGTCTGTACAAACCTTTTTCTCGATCGCATTTGCTTCACTTCTCGGCATCCGCTCGAGGAGATCATCATAGTGTTTTAGTCCGATCCTTAGAGTATGATTCAAAACTGCCTTAGTGCGAATATCCTCCAGTGTGCGAAATCCCTGATAATAAAATAAATCAAATCATCCATTTAAACTTAAACGTGAAATATTATGGTCATTTCTTAATATTATTGAAAAAGTACTCTAGAAGAGGGAACGAGCATTCCGTAAGTTGCTTACCCTACGGGTAAAGTCATCTTTTCTCGAGATCTGAAGCCAAAAAATTATCCTTAATTTTATATTTATTGTCAACGCAGTGCGGCAGACAGCAGGCTGTAGAAGCGTGCTCATTGGCTGTCCTGCGGCAACTGCAGCAGCCTATCGGTGAGCCCTGCGTGATGTCATGCCCAATGAGGGCGCCCTCTACGCGACACAGCCCGCCAGAATGGGAGTGGCTAGCATATATAAAGAGGGGCTCAACAGGCTGAGCTCTGGTTTTCATTGACTGAAGCGAATAAGCTCGTGGCGCGAGCACGGCAGGTTACGCAATACTCGTTCCCTCTTCTAGAGAGAATATAGAGAGTTTCGCCTCACTGATATGACAGTGGCCTGCACATGAACAACTGGGCAGAACATACACATCACTTAGACTGATAAAAGTTTAGTCTGCAAGGCGGGAACTTCCAGGTTATAGAATCTCATGAATGTAGAGGGGGAGGCCCAGCCTGCCGCCATACAAATATCGTGAATAGAAATCCCGCTGGACCAAGCCCACGACAAAGCCATGCCTCTAATGGAATGGGCCATGATGCCCATAGGGCACTGCAGGTGTTTGGACGCATAAGCTGCTGCGCTAGCGTCCACTATCCATCTGGACAGGCTATGTTTCGAGGCAGCGAGACCCTTGGTGCGCCCTCCAAACGAAACAAAGAGCTGCTCAGAACGCCTGAAGGCGGCAGAGTGCGTGATGTAAATTCTCAGCGCCCTGACGGGGCACAGAAGGTTATCACCGTCCTCGCTATCGGATGCTGGTAGAGCCGATAGGGAGATGACCTGTGCTCTAAAAGGCGTGCGTCTCGGTTTGAGAATTACTTTAGAGTCATTTGGTCCGAACTCGAGACACGTGGGGCTAACAGACAGACAGACCTCTCTTGAGCGAGAGGTATTTTAAGCCCACGGATTCTAATGGTTCAAAGGGAAAAGCTTTCAGGGCCTCTAAGACCAAAGAAAGATCCCAGATCGGAACCGAAGGGGGCCGTGGGAGATTCATCCTCCTGGCTCCTCTGAGAAAGCGGATGATGAGCTCGTTCCTTCCTATCGCACAGCTGCGCGTCGACACCGCGAACGCCGCAATAGCCGCAACGTACACTTTGAGCGTGGAAGGGGACCTGCCCTTGTCCAGCAGCTCTTGGAGGAAGGAAAGCACCCACGAAACCCCACACGTGCGTGGGTCCAGGCTCTTTGTAGCGCACCATTCGGAGAACCCTGAGCATTTAGACGCATAGAGTCTTCTCGTAGAAGGAGCTCTAGACTGTGAGATCGTGTTCATGACCCCTTCTGGCAACGCAACGGGTCTCCGTTGATTTTCCACGCATGCAGAGACCAGCGCTCTGGATGGGGATGCCAAATCGATCCACCGGCTTGAGAGAGAAGATCTTTCCTCACCGGGATCGGCCACAGGGCTACGTGCGACAGCCTCACCAGCTCTGGGAACCAGCTTTGGTTTTCCCATCGCGGGGCTATGAGGAGCACCGAGTGGCATGTTTCCCTGATCCTCTTGATTACCTGTGGCAACAACGAGATCGGGGGGGGGAAAGCGTACAGCGGGCAGCTGGGCCAGGTTTGGGCCAGCGTGTCCTCGCTCTTCGAGAAGAATCTCGGGCAATGAGCGTTGTCTTTTGACGCAAAAAGGTGACTTCCGCTCTGCCGAAAGAGCGCCATAGTGACTGGACTGTTTGGGGTTGCAGGGACCGTTGTCCCTGGACAGTCTGTCCCATACGAGAAGGCGTTCCGTCAGTCTGCAGAGATTCCTGGATCTGACACCGCCTTGGTGATTTATGTAGGACACCACGGACATGTTGTCCGAGCGGACTAGAATATGGTGGCCCCGTAAGTGTGGGAGGAAGCGCTTCAGCGCATTCTTGACCGCTATCATCTCCAGACAGTTTATATGAAGGCATTTCTCCTGGTCTGACCACAGGCCAAAGACCGGTCTGCCCTTGAAAAGAGCGCCCCAACCTAAGTTGGAAGCGTCCGTCGAGATAACCTTTCGGTGTGAGACAGCTCCCATTGTCATTCCCCGCTGGTACCAGCCGGCCGCTAGCCAGGGTCTCAGTGCTGAAACAGCTCTGAGTTACTCTGATTCGAATGCCGCCGGACGCCCAGGCTCGGTGAGGCACTCGAGCGTTCAACCAGCGTTGCAGCGGGTGCATGCACAGTAGACCCAGCTGAAGTACTGCTGCAGCTGATGCCATACAACCCAGCATCCTCTGAAATGTTTTTAGAGGTCCGATGCTGCCTTTCTGGAAAGACGCGGCCAGGCGCCGAACACGGCACGCGCGCTGTGTCGACATCCGGGCCGTCATTGCCACAGAGTCCAGTTCTATACCCAGAAAAGGAGGCTGACTGGCTGGGCAGCAATTAGCTCTTGGTCCAGTTGACCGTGAGACCTAGGCTTTCCAGGTGGCTGAGAAGCGCAGTTCTGTGAGAAATTAGTTCCTCCTCTGACTGTGCTAGAATCAGCCAATCGTCCAAATAGTTCAAAATTCGCATGCCCTGACTTCTCAGGGGAGCGAGAGCCATGTCCATGCACTTCGTGAAAGTACGGGGTACTAAAGACAGGCCGAACGGCAGGACGGTGTATTGATATACCTGACCGTCGAAGGCGAATCTCAAGAATGGCCTGTGTATTATCTGAATCTGAAAGTATGCGTCTTTCAGGTCGAGGGAAATAAACCAGTCCCCGGGGCAAATTTGTGCGAGGATCTGTCTGGTCGTGAGCATTTTGAACGGTGTTCTCATAAGAGCTTTGTTCAAATATCTCAGATCTAAAATTGGTCTGAGAGCTCCGTCCTTCATGGGTACGAGGAAGTAACGGCTGTAAAAGCCTGACTCGCTCAAAGAAGGAGGTACTGGTTCTATGGACCCCTTGCACAGAGGTTTCGCTATTTCTGCACGAAGTAGGTGTGCTACTTCCCCATTCACTCTCGTCTCGGTTCGCGCTCGAAAGCGCAGGGGACGGCGAGCGAACTGCAATGAATAGCCCTGCTTTACTGAGCTCAGCACCCATTCTGACACGCCCGGAATAGCTACCCATGCTTTTGCATGCAGGGCTAGGGGCAGAATGGCCTCTGGGTTCTGATCGCCGCATACTGCGGGCCCGAGAACCTGATCCCGATTCCGCTCTCGGTGCTGGAATACGGCGGCTCGCAGACAGCGATGGCTGGCCGTTTTATACACAATGTCCCGGTGACTTTGGACAGGGAGCATATTGTGCGAGGAACGGGGTGCGAGAGCGTCGCCGGGGGTAAAGTGCTTTTTAGTAAGTGTGAGCGCTCGTGAGCGGGCACAAGACTTACATCTGCAATGCGACCGGCAGGGAGTGGCCGTGAAACAGAGCGGACAGTGAGTAGGTGTGGGCACGGGGTCGTGAGCACATGTTCTACATCTAACACTCGAGCAGCTTTTGCCAGCTTTATGAGAGTGGGCTCTTTGAGAGACACGGGGGGTATGAGGGGCCGAGCGCGATCTAGGGCAGCCGCCCTTTCGTCGCTGCGAAGACGGAGGCTGAGCTGGACGCTGGGTGGAGCTTCCTGCAGGCTGGTCCTGAGGACGACGTGCAGCTGAGCTCGATCGACGAGGCAGGAAAAGATTCATAGCCTGCGTGGTCTTTTGTACCTCCGAGAAGCGGTCCACGATCCCGCTAACCGCTGGGCCGAAGAGGCCGGTGGGGGAGAGCGGGGTGTTGAGGAAAACAGCCCACTCGGATTCCCTCATGTCGGCGAGCATCAGCCAGAGGTGCCTTTCTGTGACAGTCAGAGAGGACATGCACCTTCCAAGGGCCTGGGCAGTGGATTTAGTGGATGAGTAGTCTCATCCAGCTCACGGAGGAGATCGGCTTGGAGGATCTGTAGGACTCCCATGTAGTGCAAGACTGAGGCAGCTTGTCCGGCGGCGGCGAAAGCACGGCCGACAAGGACTGATGTAGTCCTGCAGGCTTTGGACGGGAGGGCAGCCTTTGAACGCCATCCAGAGGGCGGGCAAAGGGGGATGGAATTATACCCCTTCTCGGCGGCGCCATCAACCTGTGAGAGCGTCGAGGAGACATGAGTGGACTCTCGTGGAGAAAGGAGCGTTCCACGATTTAGACAGTTCAGCGTGGAGCTCCGGCAGGAAGGGTGCAGTCCTGGATGCGGGTGTTTGGTGGCGGCGATGGAGAAAATAGCTGTCGAGTCTGTTCGGCGCAGGCTCTTTAAGCGTTGACCACTCGAGGCCAAGTTGGTCAACGGCCTTGGTGAGGAGGCGCAGGAGCTCCGCATCCACGCCCGCCCGAGTACGGCCGGCCTCCTGGACTGACGAGTGGTGTGAACCGGACCATTCCTCGCTGTCAGAAGCCAAGATAGAGCACCTGTCAGCGGCGGCGTCCACATCCACGTCATCCGCCTCATCCCCCTGAGGCGGCGGCGGCGCGGGCGGGCGCGAACCGGCGGCTGCGCTTCCGGGAGGGGGGGCGGGGAAGGAGAAAAAGAAGCGCGAGGGAAGGGTTCTGGCGAGCTTCTGGGCGCCACATCGGTCTCCGGTGGCCTCTGGGAGCGGCACTTCTTCCTGCGCGGTCCAGCAGAGACAGGCGGAGCGGCGGCGGCGTCGTTGAAGATTTCAAGTCGAGCCCGCAGGGTCAACATTGAATGATCTTCGCACTCAGGGCAGCCACCCGAAGAGAGTGCGATGGCTGCGTGCTCGCAGCCAGAGACTATTTATATAGAGACATGCCACTTCCTCAATCCTTAATACAACTATATAGGGAAAACCCATAACGCCAAAGATGACGGTTGTATGCACATATACCGCCCCTCCCGCTGGAAAGCCAATCGTCTGCTTTTAACAGTTAAGCCGGGAAACATTTAAGCCTATCGTCTGGTTCCACTGACGCATGCGCACAGTTGAGGTTTGCGACAGTGGAAAATACGTTACTGTTTGAAAAGGCGGCAGATTTGATATGCAGTGTATGTGTGAGTTGTGTAAATATCAGACATCCCAAGTCTCCCGCAGATAGCGGCTCCCTGATGCCCGCAAATTAGTTCAAATCTCCCGGAATCTAGAGCGATTCAAACCGTGTAGCGCGCGCATGACAGAGAGGGAGAGAACCCTTGCGCATGCGTAGTAAAAGTATAACCTGTGGGGAAAAAGGCGTTTTAAACCTTTTTTGGGGGCAAAGTCATCAAACTTTTTCAGCGATTTTTATCATATTTTCCTGCCGTTTCTATACATGCAGTTTTTATGTCCCGGTGACCAGTGAAAGTGCAGTTCTGACTCTCTGCCCATTCATTTAGATAGGAGCCTGGTCTTGTTAGTCCGAAATAGCTGCCCGGAGGCGTTGCCAAGATGGCGGCCGAGTGGCATGACTTGCCTAAAAGGACTTTGTCGCGGCCCAGACAGAGAGCGCAGAGGAGATGGCGGTCTCCGGCACGAGCCACGGGAAGAGTGAGGCATTTTGACAAAAAACGCCTTGTGCTCTTTTAGATATATAGGCGTGTGTCGCAGCGGCGAACACACACAGCAGAGAGAAGAAAAAGGATACTTTTGTCACTGGATAGCGTAGCAGGCATGGATGGCTTCTCCAGACGCTCCCTAAGCTTGTTTTGACGGCAGCAGCTTCTCAAGATCCAGCGATGCGAAGAGTTTCGCTGAAGAGATGAAAATCAGAGCTCAGCCTGTTGAGCCCCTCTTTATATACGCTAGCCACTCCCATTCTGTCGGGCTGTGACGCATAGAGGGTGCTAAGCGCTCTCATTGGGCGTAACATCACGCAGGGCTCACCGATAGGCTGCTGCAGTTGCCGCAGGACAGCCAATGAGCACGCTTATACAGCCTGCTATGGTCTGCTGTCCGCCGCACTGCGTTGACAAATACAAAATTAAGGATCATTTTTTTGGCTTCAGATCTCGAGAAAAGATGACTTTACCCGTAGCGTAAGCAACTTACGCAATACGAGAGAACCTCTCGTAAGAGAACTGTATGTTCCACAGAGTACAAAGCTGCTGTAAATGTTCTGCACTACTAGGAACACTAAATGGAAAGATAGCATTAAAGTGTGTTCCGCATGACGTTATTTTCGACCGCTACAGCAGTCACTGAGGAGGGTGAAGGCGTTGGAGGGAACCTGGCATTGGCTGGCTTACTTCTGAATGGAATGTACTGACAATTTACAGATGACTTTCATGCCTGAGAGCAATAAAGTTTGAAAAGTGCCAATTGTTTGGACAATCAGGTAATCCGGCTCTAAATTCACATTACTGGTTGAAGTTGGCAGAGAGCTGCCTCCATGTTTTTCCTGATTAGCTAACGGAGTCATATGGTGCATCCAAATTTGTACTTATGCACTATTCTATGACGTTTTGTAGTATAAATAGTGTGAGTAGTGTCTTCACATTGAAAATTCCAAAAAGATAAAATTGAACTTGAAATACCCGGATGATGCACTTAATTAACCGAGAAAAACAAAAACAAAGTGTGGAACGTTGGACACTTAAAGGACAAGTTCGGTATTTTACACTTAAAGCCCTGTTTTAAGATTGTTTCTGATGAAATAGAACGGTTAAGATTGAAATTTGGACACATGCTGCTGGCCCGAGAATTTTCGGTTTCTGTGGTAGCACCACCCCACCTCCACAATGGTTGCATAGGTGGACTGGAACAATCCTTCATAAAACGCATTAAACTTTAGTTTACAAAGACGTGCAACTCACCGAGTGGTCTGGGGTGTTCACTGTTCAGTGTTTCCCACAGAATTAGATTCTATTTGCGGTGGTGTGGTGTTTGGGGACCGGGGGGGTGGGGGGTGCATAAAGGACAAAAGCTTAGGCCGCGCCACAGGGGCCTATATGTATTGTAATTGTGCAAAAAGTCAAACTTTAGAGGCATGTTATCAATAACCTTTATTGGAATATAAATGTACAAGCTTAGCTGCAGGAATCTGTGATGGCAACGGACAAGAAAATTGGTGTACCCAGGGCAGGCTTAATAACAAATACCCTTGTATGGTTGTCTAGTCCAGGGGTTCCCAAACTTTTCCATGCCAAGGCCCCCCAAATACCACTAGCTTCTGGCCAAGGCCCCCCTTCTGCAGGATGTGTTATTGAACCCATCGACACTACTACAGCAAATGTAGAAATAAATAAAACCTCTAGGTGAACATCAGATTATGTGATGGTGTTTGATACCAGCCTATCAGAAAGATTATAGAGATGCACCTATTACAATTTTCTAGGCTGATTACAATTTTTCATTGAGTTTGACCTGCCGATACAGATATTAGCCGATCTGATTTCCTTTTTTCTAACCACTTTACAACACACACAAATATTTTTTTCTCTTTCTTTCTCTCTCTCTCTCATATATATATATATATATATATATAACATCATATAGTTTTATCCAAACTGAATAATTAAGACAAGTTTAAGTTTAAATGGGTAAATTTTCTATAAATATTTTTGAGTCTTCATTTTCTTTTCTGACATAGCCTACTCCAGTTCTTGTTTAAACACACTAGACATGCAAATTATGTGCATTTTAGGCACTTTTTGTGTGAAATCATATTTATTTTGTCCATCAAAAGTGTGCTTTCACTTTAATTGAGTGTGAGCTGCGCAGCAAAAATAGATTGTGCCGAAACCCGCTTCACTGCTGCTTACGCTCCTGCTTTGCGCTCCTGCTCGCGCTGTGAATGCACTCATTGATAACATGTACGCCGAACAAATACGCGCCTCTCGCGCTTGAGATCTGAAACGGACGTAATTCACGAGGTTTCCTACATGTGCGTTCCGTGTGCATGTGTGATGCTGATGTTGCGCGATGTTAATCATGCGGCGCCCGAGTGCATTAGACCGGCATAAAATCAGCATGTCAGACTGATCGGCCGGTCGACAATCACATGAAAATCGTCCAATTCCGGTCACCAGCCAATCAATCGGTGCATCTCTAAAAGATTAGCATTACAAGTATAATGTTCAGATAGGCTATGCACAAATTATTATAATGCTATTTCATTACAATACTCATAATAATATAAATAGAAATTTTTTTTTTATTTTATTTTTTTTTTTTACTTTTTTATTTTTTTACTTTTCTTCCAACTTGCTGCGGCCCCCTTGGCGCCCCCTGGCGGCCCCCAGTTTGAAAACCCCTGGTCTAGTCTATATACACTAAACATTAGTGCTGTCAAAATGAATGATTAATCCAAGTGATTAATCAAAAAATAAAAAATAAAAATAACTCATAATCCTGATTGATACCTTCCTGATTGATACCTTCCTGGTATTAGGCCATGAGACGGGACCCCAACTTTGGGCTACCGGTACCATTTTGAGGGATTACATTTCTTTTTGATTTTCATGAAGGTACACATCTCTAGTGTTGGAAAATGTGTGATAGCATCCGATCCATGGTAGCTTTCATTAGAAATCAACACTTATATCATCCTACCTCAAGGTAAGGTGTTCAGTGACTCCAAGAGAGAAAAATGTATCCTTTTATAATTTAAAAAATGTATTTAAAAAAAATTATAAATTATAAATAGGAAAAAATTACGTTTTAGTCGCATAACATCGTTTAATGGAAATGCCGTCATTTCGCAATAGTTTTTTATCGATATTTAGAAAAAAAATTGTGCGAATCTGTAATGGAAACGCGACTGCGTTTAACATAGACTAACTTCGCAGAGTTATAGTGTTCATTATACTAACCATTCAACTCCGGATTGATTCTGGAGGAATAAGCACCGGGAACAATCCGTCCTCCAACGCATGCTCATGTTTTGATTCAGATCGTGCTTGAAGAGGAGGGGCTATTCACGTCTCCGTTGTCAGTTTGTGAGAGTGGGAGGGAGGGAGCAAGCTGCGCGCAGCTCTACAATAAAATACAATTTTACCCATATCAAATAGTTAAAAAATCTGAAAATCAATCCGTGGCGATCAGCGTTGATATTGTGGCAGGCCGCCACAAATTAATGAATGTATGGGAAACCCTGCTGTTCAATCGCTGCAAAAGATGCTTTCCAACAGGTTTTATCGTAGTTTTTGTCCAAGTCAAGTCAATGTCAAGTTAAAACCTGTTGGAAAGCATCTTTTGCAGCGATTTTTGTGTGAGCATATCAGTGAACACCCCTGACCACTCGGTGAGTTTCACGTCTTTGTAAACTAAAGTTTAATGCGTTTTAGGAAGGATTGTTCCAGTGCACCTATGCAACCATTGTGGAGGTGTGGGGTGGTGCTACCACAGAAACCGAAAATTCTCGGGCCAGCAGCATGTGTCCAAATTTCAATCTTAACCGTTCCATTTCATCAGAAACGATCTTAAAACAGGGCTTTAAGTGTAAAATACCGAACTTGTCCTTTAATGCACTCGACTGTCGCGGACTCCAATGTTGAATGACAAAATAACCATATTAAAACTCATACACTACACGGTTGAGTACATAGTGCACAATTACATTGTGTATAAGTGCATAGTGCGTCATTGGGACACAACTATAACCTGTTTTGGCGATAATTTATCATTTCGTTCCCTCATTTTAGTTAAATCGTGATCACATTGTACCAATTCATTCCCTCGGTTTAGTTAAATTTGTACAACGTGACCACAATTTGAATAAAACAAGGGAACAAAATAATAAATTGTGGGGATGAACTCTTAATTCAATTTCTTTCTCTGTCATGTGTGGGGCTCCATATAATTTAGAATAATAATGTTGCGTTACAGTGGCACCTGACATACAAATGCAAATTTTTTACATATGATTAATATCAAACCGTGAACTAGTTTCCTTGTATAACAGTCTTACCTGTTGATACCACAGCTGTGCAGTCTTGGCCCCAGCACCCCAGATGTTAGTGAACATTTCAAGAACAGGTACTTCCTCCCCAATGTGATCCAGTTTACGCAAGTGTCCGCTTTCCATGATTTCCATGATCTTGTCTGCCATGCGTTTACCAATGCCTGGAATTTTACATGCTTCCTATAGAAGGGGTAAAAAGCATGTTTATGTGCAAGTTGTTTTTTTACTGAAATAATTATTAAATAAGCCATTTTATGCCCTTTTACAAAGTCTTGATTTAGTTTTTGGGGTCTACTAGAATTGGCTTTCATTCTTGAATGTTTGACACTTTTGCAGATCTTTTTCATGCTCAAAATCCATTACACATTAAATAAAGTTGAAAATGTTAAAAAGCAAAATAATAAAGTATTTTATTGATACTAAATTAATTACTGTTGCACGCTTGAAACTACCTTAGCAACAGCAACCATGTGTTCCTAACACAAATAAGCACCTCCATGAACCCTAAATCCTCTGAGGACTCGTATGCGAATCTGAACTGACCTCATATGAAGTGATGGGCTTGTGGTAGCTTTTAAGGGCATTGATTGCTTTAGAGTAGCCCAGAGCTCTCCATTTATCGCCCTTGTGTGTATAAGCTTTTGCCAGCGGCTCCAGTTTGTCAGTAATGTGCTTGTTATGGTTCTCCCCTTTAGTTGTGGATGGTTGGGAACAGACCCACTTCCCAGACAAAACTGGATTCACTGCCAAACTCTGGTCTTGGTTGCTCTCAGAAGGGTGAACGCCACTGATCAAGGCCTCCAGATCATTCTGAGATACACCATCTTCCTCGTGGTGCTCCTCCTGAATATCTGGCACCTGTGAAATGAGTCATATTAAATGCACTCCATGAGGGGGAAAAAAACAAATTATGGATCTTACAATAACCTCCCATCCTTCCCTTTCTTACCGTCTCTGTGGGATTTTCTTGAGGATCCTGATTTTTAAGGATTTTAGAAGGATCCTGAGCTACTGCTACTTGTGGAACTGGGCTGACTTCAGTCTCATTTAACTTCTCAGAAGGGGCAACTGTGGGACTGAGCACATGTACATTAAGTATTTATTTCTACACAACTTCCTTCAGAACATTTACAAATGTATTCAAAAGTCAAACAACAAGTGTCTAAATATCAATCAAGTTATACACGTCTTAAATAAAACCACAGGCAATGCCACTGCAATTGAGTCAAGTCTCCAGTGCCCTACCTCTCAGGAGGAAGGAGGCTGTAGTCTTCAGGGGCTAGTAATCTTTTCTCACTAATGCAGGAACTTAACCAAGTGCATTTGACCAGTTGAACAGCAGAAGGCAGTCTTTCCACTTTCAGAAGCCTCAGAGCTCTATTACAATCGACTGAATCATCCACCACAATGTGTGTGCAGCTGGGAGAGAATGTGGACACTACCTGTCCTCCATTCTGGGTGATCTGTCGATGGAATATATCACACCTGGCTTTCCCTATACCAGCTGGAACTATGTATATTGTGACTCCTTGGAATAATGTACCTAAGAAAAAGCAGCATACATTTAAAACATAACCATTACTACTACTCATACCAGATTGGGCTGACTGAAGCATTGAGAGGAGCAGGAAGTTAAAATTTAATAATATAAATAATTATAATACTCTAATTATTTTATATATATATATATATATATATATATATATATATATATATATATATATATATATATATATATATATATATTCTTCTAAAAAAATTTACTGGAGGTTCTAAAACAGCAGGTTGAAATTGTTTCAGAAGATTCATATATTAGAATAGTAGCGTCAGTTCTGGCAGGTCACATCAGTCAAGCTTGCATCAGCTGACTCTCAGCTGATCCACGTCTACCTATAGGAATATGATGCCCATCACAGCATCCCTATATATATATATATATATAATATATATATATATATATATATATAGTATTATCAGCAGCTTTATAGTGTTGCTCAGTAGCTAACTACCATCCCCAGCTCCACCTCTCTTCCAGTCAGGACTTGGCCTTCTGATATTCCTCTTCGAATCAGACTGTCATTCATTTATTGTCAGTACGAATGTTATTGATATGGATGGGCAGTGAGTTCTTGCCCAGAACAAAAACATATACGGTCAATACAAACTGTATTCTAATTGTCAATCATCTTTGGCGTTAGTGGTCCAGACAGAACTACTTGTTCTAGTTGCTTCGGTCTAGTCGTTGTTGCTTTACTCAGGTGTACTTTGAAGGGTGAATTATGAACCTGTTATTGGTTTAGCGGGCGTCCGCTTGTGGGGAGGTGCGTCCTTCTGATCATTCGGCCTGGGTCTCTTTACTTTAGGGAAGGCTTTCAGGATACCATGACCTTCCATTCCTGCCAAGGTAGGGAAAGGAGCCTTAAAAACAAAATGATTGGGATCAGTAGGCTTCACATATCTACAGAAATAACGTACACAGATCGAACCTACAGAAAGGTGTTAGCACTAGCAGAAATAAGTTACTGTCCGAAGAATCCAGAATAATGTCCTCATGCAACCAGAGCAGCAAGCGAATAAACGGATTGCTGTGTTTTAAAACATACATTAAACATTATAAATCTTTAAAGGCACAATAACTTATATTAACAACTTCAATGACTTAAAAAACCCATACTTACCCCTTCCAGCTCCTCTTTCTAGGAACAACACAACACACGAGTGTTTTAAACATGGTTTTAAACGGATCAACTTCCGGGTCACACTGGCGTTTGCGTTTTTAAAAAAAATAAACATTTTAAATTATACTTTGCTTTTGTACTTAATGTTAATACTTTTCATAGTTATAATTACATATTTCATTGTATATACATATTGGAAATGCATTAAAGATACGAAATATCTTGTTTGAGAAATAGCGGTTGCCTTGGCAACTTCAGGCGTGGGATTGTTTGAGGAAATGAAAGCGTATGAAGCATGGCTGTTCAACACTGGGCAGATGCGCTTAGAAAAGCCAAGAAAACTGCCTTAATATCGGATGGTGCGCATATATATTCTGTATTATTTTTTGATTTGCTATTTTGTATGTGTATTTATGCTGGCAGCCTTGCTAATAGTCTTGCTAATACGTGTTATAGTCTAATGCATTTGCTACTGGCTAATAGCATTGGAATCTATGCAAAATATCATAACATACCTGTTAAAAGAATGTTTTATTTATTTTAAAGCGTGAATATTGTTCGATGTAAAGTAAAGTATGAATTGAGAGACTCCTTCATATGCCTTTCTCATTAGGGAAAAGGAAAGCTCATTATCTGTTTGAGGATGGAAATGAGATGGCTGAGGAGTATGACCTGAAAACTGACGAACTTGTCTGTAAGTGATTTTTTTCTTCTGTTTTTGTTTAATTGAATCTCATACTAATTTAGATTTGTATTTTATAATCATTTTATAATCATCTTTCTTCAGTGCGAAAGTGGCGACATAAAACCACTTTTGGAGGGCAGGGGCAGTGGACATGGGAAGTTGGTGAAACAAACCCAAATGACATTACCTCTGATTTAATAAAAGAGAACAGTTCAAATGTAAGGTTTCCTTTCTTTTTTCATTATGTTTAAATGACAGTGTTTAAATATTTATGTGTGCTGCTAGGCACCTGTTTTGTTATCTAAGTGTTTTTTTGGTTTTGCCCACAGCCATTGTTCATGCGTAAGGACACAAAGGCCAGTTTCCAATGGAGGATCCGTAATATTTCATATCCTGTTGAAGTCTACAGTGTGTCAGCAGAGCCGACGGAAAGATTTTGTGTCATTCGAACCTCAAACAAAAAGTGAGTTCTTTAAAATTAATGCAAGTAGGAGGCTTTAAATTGCTAAACTATTTCAAAATCAACTAGTCTTGATTGTGGCCTATGAAATGAGTGTTTTTAAGTAATTTAGTGTTTATTGACTGTATTGTAATTATGTGTTCATGTTGTCTGACTGAAATAGGCTCTATGCACGATCGCTTCCGTGTTTTGTCTCAGCCCGCCCAGTTACATCCGGTGCTGCGTCGCAAGCCGTTTTTGCATTAGGTGGAGATAATGGCAAATTACACTCGCTGTTTACAAGAACTTCCAGCGATTAACGTGAACGATGTTAACAATATTGTGAGGCAGTTAGCTGTCACACATGAGAGTAAGAAAGAGAAGGGCATTAAATTATATATTTCAAGCTACATCGACAACTTTGAGGGTGAGTAATCTCTCATATCATGCGAAATCCGACTAGCGAATCAGTTTCGAAAATTGTTGTCTCGTTTCTGAGAAAATGAATTTTATTAAAGTTTGGCCGCTAGTACACTTCGTTATAGAACGCGCTATGCGGAGGTAAAGACACTGGCTGAGATTCTACCGGAAATACGTCAGCAGCGTTCGTGCATAGAGCCTATTGGACAAAGTATCACATTTTGTGTTAAAGTAGGTAGTTTATGTAATAGTTGTATATAAGGTGTGTCTGTGTGTGTGTTTGTGTGTGTGTGTATATACTTTAAAATATAATTTTATTTCTGTGGCCAAAGCTGAATTTTCATCAACCATTACTCCAGTCTTCAGTGTCACATGATCCTTCAGAAATAATTATAATATGCCGATTTGATACTTAGTTGTTATCAATGTTGGAAACGGTTGTGCTGCTTAATATTTTTTTGGAACCTGTGATATGTTTTTCAGGATTCTTTGATGAATAAAAAGTAAAAAAAAAACTGCTTTTTCTAACAATTTAAATCTTTACTATCGCTTTTTTTTAATCAATTTAACACATCCTTGCTGAATAAAAGTATTAATTTCTTTTCAAAAAAGAAAAATGACTGACCACAAACTTTTGAACGGTAGTGTATATTGTTTCAAAAGATTTCAATTTTAAATAAATGCTGTTCTTTTTAAAAATCTTTTTATTCATCAAAGAATCCTGAAAAAAGTATCACAGGTTATAAAAAAAATATTAAGCAGCACAACCGTTTCCAACATTGATAATAAATCAGCATATTAGACTCATTTCTGAAGGATTATGTGACACTGAAGCCTAGAGAAATGGCTGATTAAAATTCAGCTTTTTATCACATAAATACATTTAGTTTTTTAGTATATTTATTATTATTATATTAAAATAGAAACCCATCATTTTAAATTGCAATAATATTTCACAATACTACTGTTTTTTTATTTCTATATTTTTGATCAAATAAATGCAGGCTTGGTGAGCACACGAGACTTCTTTCAAAAACATTAAAAATAATTTTGTAAGCATGTTCATTAATGCATTCATCTTGATTTTAGAGAAATACAATAATCATAATAATATCAAATCAAATCAAATTTGTCAACTTCTGCTTATAAATTCAGGATTACCTAGTGAAAAGCAGTAGTATACTATTATAGTTCTATAGTATTTTATTCATAAGTTTTTAGACAAGCTGAAATATGTTTTTTATATTTTATTTTATTTAAGTTTATAGCATTTCAAGTAATGTAAATGTTTTTTATGGTTTTAGTTTTAGTTAGCTACAATAACCCTGGTGAAAAGTGTGTTGATGAACTAATTGTTTAGTTGCAAAAGCCCTACAGTAACCCTATAGGTGGCACTGTTGATATGGAAGATGGATGGCGCCGGCCATGAGAAACATTCTCTTGTTCATCTCCTCATTTCCCAGGTACTATAAGAAGTTCAGTATTCCAGATCTCGACCGTTGCCAGCTGCCTTTGGAGAGCGCAGCCTTGAGTTTTACACACGCCAACAACACTTTAATCATCAGCGTGAGTGAACTCTCACCGCTAGCCTCACTTAATCACTTTCTCTTAGCTCTTTCTGTATTGTAAGGTATGTATTCAGTTTTTTTCCGCATCACGTAGAGGAACTTTCCCTTTTGCGTGGATCTGGGACCAGGTTGCCAAAACCCTAATCCCCACTAAGAGAGCACACAATTCTGGTCTCAGATCATCAAAAGGGCAACTATGCCGTCACTTTTTATTGGTTCACCTAAGTAGAGAAGGTTGAACTGAACTGCTCTCACCTCTGTTGTCTGCTCCAGTACTCAGCTATTCCATCCAGCATTGGATTTTTATAAGGAGTTTCTCTCTCTTTTGTTGTAGTACAAGAAGCCCAAGGAGATTTTAACACTGGAACAGGAGCTGCTTGTGGAACTGAAGAAACTGAAGGGGACAAGTGAAGGAGATATTGACTGTAAAACTCAGTGAACTGCTGTTGCGTTATTGTATTTGTCTGGAAGCGGTTCTGCACATTCACTTCAGCTCTGTGTCTCACGTTGGCATGTTTCTGTCAGCCTTGTGCATCCAAGCAACTCACTTTCAATGTGTGCTCAATTTCAAATGGTGTTCTGAATGATGTTCCTACAACTGTTCTTTGTTAAATAATGCGTTCACTGACTAAAATACAATAAAATTATTATAAGTAGTTTGTTTTATTCCAGCTATTTCCACTATACTGTAACTTAAAAAATATAATACACCAATGTGTTGTGAGATAAATCATCACTTAGTAAACACTGTTTGTACATTTAGGCATATACAATAGTAATTCAAATATAGCATAAAAGACTTCAAAAATATAAAATAATTATAGCAGATGCCTAAGAATTAAAAATAAAAATGTATTAAAAAGAAATCAGAAAACATACATAAATAGATAATAAACGGAGCAATTCCAATAGGATCCTCACACCATCGGTGCTCGGGCCCTAATGATACAGTGCAATCAGCAAAGTGCTCATTCAGTAAATGCATCAAATTCATAAACTGACAATTTGTGCATCTAGCAGTTGTCCAGTTGCATTATTATTGGAGATTCATCATCATATTTCTATAACATGAAGGTCATTGAACTTCAGTTTCCATATACTGCCATCTCTACTCATCAATTTCCTTGAAGTGCATCGTGGGAAAATTAAACATGTCATTTATCTTGGTTCCTTGATTTTCTCTGTTTTCATCTCATGTTTATGGATGATGTTTGGCATGCACCACAGTACTGTTGTTTGTGTTTCTACTATACTTGTTTGTATACTACAAACTCAAACTCTTTGTTGGTTTAAGCCAAGGGAAAGACAAAACAATACCATGTGAATGTACGGTTTCTGACTCTGGTGACTCTTCACTTCTAGCTTCCAGTCCACAGTTTTTGTGCCAAACCAAGAGACTGTATGCATAAAACAGGCACTAAACCACAAGTCTTTCTCACTATTGTGTATAACGGCCTCTGAGGATGTTGTTTTCTGCCCTGGAATTCACCAGCCAGGGTTCACGGCTGATACTGCAGTCTCTTGTTTTGGGTTTTAACACGGAAACAATGTAATATTTTAGAATGACAAAGGTGGAAAATATGACAGATGGCACACTGTAAAAAGTACTCAGTTGACTTAACTTAAAAAAGTGATAAACTTCACGCGTAATTGAAAAAAATTAAAGTTATGTGAACTTGACACTTCCATTATATTACGCACAAAGTTTATTTACTAATACTTTTAAGGCAAATGGTTTCCTTGCTTTTTTAAGTTAAGTCAACTGATCACTTTTTATGCATGTTAATTCATTCGTCTGTATTATTTAAGTTGTAAAGCTTGTTATTTTATAGTCATTTGGGGTTTTAGGCATTACATAGTCATCGTTACAACATTGTAAAAATTGTAATAGCTTTATTATACACATTCACACTAAAACATGTTAACATGCATTGTTTACATTTTGTTTTGAGTATATCAACTTTTTTACGAATTTGCCCCATTCAATTTAAGTTTTGTGGTAATCAACATTACGGCGTGTACAAGTGCTGCCAATTAAAGTCGAGATGTGATGAAAGTAGTGACAGATCTTTTCTTCTTAAAAAAAAGAGAAAGAAATATAGGGAGAACTGGTTCAATCCATCGGATGTTGATTGGATAGAGGCAGATCTAAATGAGAGCTTGTAAATATAAGAAAGGGACAGATTTTAAACAGACTAAATGATTGGAGACATACATCACCAGTAAGAAGTCTCATTTTACTGGAAGTGGTGAATTTCCATTCATACCAACTTTACCTGGCATTAAAACCTTAAAATATTCCTTTAATGGCTAAACATAAGCTTGTTGTTAAGTTCTGTTGGTTTAGTTTCATTTTCATGGACTTTTAGTTTATTTCTCTTCAGTTACTTGTTCCCTTTGTTCTAGTTTTTTCACCAGTCTTTAGTTACAATCTTTGCCATTTAGTTTGTTATCATTGTATATTTAAGTTCTTCCTTACATTCAGGTTATTGTCTGGTATTGTTTGTGCCTAGCACTCTGTTTCGTGGTGTTTGCTCATTTCTGCATTACCTGCTTTAGAGTTATTTAATAAACCTAATAAACATTGGACTGAAACATTGCACTTACACATAAAGCTATCGTTTTCCATTTCTGTATAAGCCCAGGACTGATAGAAATACTGATTTAGCCTAAGTCTAGGTTTAACATGTATCTGTGCATCATTTTGCCATATATACTGATCAAGGTCAGTGTTTTGATTAGAGCCTTTAATGAATTGTATAAGCATTCACTGTAAAGTTATATATGTTAAGATCTAAGTTTTTTTAAAGCAGTAAACTGTGACCTGCTTAAATAGTCAACGTCCCATGACGCACCATGGAGCCTGATTTCTGGCAACACTCTTCTGGTGATGGTGATGGTAGCAACTGTGGGGACATGCCATTGACATGAGCTGTCAAAATGATTTAAAACACACTGACCATTCACCAGAATCTGCAGCTTTTGCAGTGTGCTAACCTCTCATTGTAACAGCCTCGTATTGACCACAGAGAGACGGAAACCATTGTGCATCATTACACTCGTGTGTTGACAAGCAGTGCCGCGAGCCAAACATCTGCACACATCATTGAAACCTTCTAGGAGCAGAGCAAGAGTCCTGGCGCTGTCTTCACCCCTTCTTGCACTGCCCAAAGATGGTACGCTCCAGTTCACAGCAATATGAGATTCCAGATTCATCCAATACCAAATGTCCAGGGGAGATTGTTGGCCTGAGGTCTGTGAAAAATTATTTAGAAATTTCTTACATGGAAAGAATCAGATGTCTATGGGTTAACTGCTACCGAGAGATATTCTTATAGTTCCACCAGTCCTGTTTTCTTAGAGGTACCGGCTCTTCTGACAGACTGGTGACCAGTGGTCTGGACTTTTGGCAGATGTTGACTGTTATCTGTAAGTCAGAGCGGACACAATGGGTGCTACAGGAGCGATCTGCAATGCCGTTAGCATTTTGGAGCGAGTTATTGATTACTAATACTTTAGCAATGCAGTGGTAGGTGGTGGGTTAAATGGCTGGTGGTCAACATTTGCATTGTTTTGTTTTTACATAGTTTGACTCAAGTTTCCAGACCTTTGACTGGATGTCTGCTCCATATTACAGCTTATTCTTGTAAGGCCTACTTATAGCAGCTTGACTGAAAGCAATCAATCACAGTTAGTCTTTTTGAATTCCCGCTTCCATTAGGTCAATGTGTTTTGTAAAGGTTTTAATGAGTAAGCTCAAGGTATTTTCACATTTTATTCTATGAGATAAAATACATCAGTAATACCCCACTCATGTTTATTCTAGCTTTTACATGACTATAAGAGTTCTCTTACGAGAGGTTCTCTCGTATTGCGTAAGCTAGCTTACGCTGCGGGAAAGATTCATCTTTGCTGAGATATTGAAGCCAAAAAATTATTTCATAATTTGTATCCATACACAACGCAGTTCCTCTGCGGCAGACCTAGAGCAGGCTAGCTAGCAGCTCATTGGTTCGCTCAGAGAGAACTGCTTAAGCCTATGGGAGAGCGGGGCTGAACCCGCTTCCAATGAGAGGCGCCCGCGCGCTCATTGCGTCATGGCCCGCCAGAATGGGCGTGGCCATGGTGTATATAACAGTCTCTCCCAGGCTTATATGTTGATTCATTTCATCTTCAGCAAGCTGCACGCTTCTGCTGTCCTGAGAAAAGCCGTCGCCGTCGAGAAGGCATCACTCTAGCGAGCTCCCGGACCCTGAAGAAGCCGGCCGTCTTCGCCACCTTCAGCCGCCCTGCAAGCTAGCGCCATCCGACGACTGTATCCTTCTCTTTTCTCTATTATATCTAAAAGAGCCGAGCGTCTTTTTAAAGATGTCTCGTTTTTCCTGCGGCTCTTGCCGCGCTCGTCTCGAGGACGGAGACCGCCATGTCATCTGCGCTCTCTGCCTGGGACTCGAGCACGCAGAACTCGCCCTCGCGGATGGAGGATGCGACTTCTGTGAGAGCCTGCCGTTGTCGTCCCTGCGGGCACGACTTCTGGCAGCAAAATCCGCTCCCGCGCCGCCTTCCTCTTCGCCGCGTAAGAAGAAACGCCGCTCCCAGAGGCCGCCGGAGCCCCCAGCGGAACAATGCGGGCCGCCGCCGCCGCCTCCCGCTTCCCGCTCTCCCTCCCCGCCCCTGCCGGACATACAGTTGCCGCCGAGTGGCCGCTCTGTCGCTTCCGATGACGCCGCGGAGGAGAAGGACTCCTGTTCACTGCTCGCGTCAGACAGTGAAGAATGGTCATCTCTCGGATCCACGAGAGAATCGGCTGGGACCCGCGCCGGGATAGAGGAGGAACTAATGCGCCTCCTCTCACAGGCCGTCGAACGCCTCGGTCTCGAGTGGTCTCCTCCACCCGAGCAGGCCCCGAACCGGATGGACGGCAGCTTTTTTCATCGGCGCTCGACCCCCGCGTGCAACCGGGCCGCTCCATTCCTGCCTGAACTTCACGCAGAGCTGACGAAGTCCTGGAATGCCCCGCTCTCGGCTAGAAACCGCTCTGATATATCCGCCTCGCTGCGCTCGGTGGACGGAGCCGCCGAAAAAGGCCACTCAGCCATGCCGCCCGTCGAGGACTTGGTCGCCGCACACCTCTGCCCGCCCTCTGCTAGATGGCGCTCTTCCCCCACGCTTCCTTCGAAAGCTTGCAGAGCGACCTCGAGCTTTCATGCTCGCGCCTACGCCGCCGCCGGTCAGGCCGCCGCAGCGCTACATTCTATGTCTGTCCTCCAAGTATTACAGAGCGATATTCTCCGTGAGTGGGCCGAAGGCGGTAGAAACCCCTCCCCCGCTGTCACGGATCTGAGAAGTGCTACGGACCTTGCCCTTCGCGCCACTAAAGCCGCCGCACAAGCTCTGGGGAGATGCATGGCCAGCCTTTGTGTTGCCGAGAGACACTTATGGCTCACGCTCGCCGACATGGGAGATTCTGAGCGCGCCGCGTTTCTTAACGCGCCCCTCTCCCCGACGGGCCTTTTTGGATCTGCTGTCGCGGGAATCGTCGATCGCTTTTCTGAGGTCCAGAAAGCTACTCAGGCGATGAATTTGTTTCTGCCCCGCCGCGCTAGCTCTTCCGCGGGCCGCTCTTGCGAGCCTCCTGCCAGAGCTCCACCAC